GGAGAGAAGCCCTTTACCCCCGAGGGGAGCCAGGATTTCAAAATCTTTTGTCCCCAAGCCCCGTTTGTTCCCTGAGAACGGCTGTTGCGATGCCGGGTGATTTCCCAGGGATGAGGGGATTTTTCCAGGAGTTCTCCGTGGATCAGGATATTCCCAGGGTGTCTGACAGCTCCTTTTTCCGTGTCTCTGCCCAGGAGAGAAGCCCTTTACCCCTGAGGGGAGCCAGGATTTCTGTGGGTGCTATCACAGGAATCAGGGGACTTTTCCAGGGGTTCTCTCAGAGAAGCAGGGATTTTTCCAGGGTCTCTATGGATCACAAGATTTTCCAGAGTTCCCCATGGATCGGGGGAGTTTTCCAGGGTGTCTGACAGCCTCTTTTCCCGTGTCTCTGCCCAGGAGAGAAGCCTTTCATCTGCGAGATCTGCGGCAAGAGCTTCACCAGCCGGCCCAACATGAAGCGGCACCGGCGGACGCACACGGGCGAGAAGCCGTACCCGTGCGACGTCTGCGGCCAGCGCTTCCGCTTCTCCAACATGCTCAAGGCCCACAAGGAGAAATGTTTCCGTGTCACCAGCCCCGGCACCAGCCCCGGCACCGCCGGCACCGCCTCCCTGCTGCCCGGCCCCTGCCCGGCCCCTCCTGCCGCGGGCAGCGCGCTGGGGCTGGGCCCGGCCGTGCCCTCCCGGCCCGTCCCTCACCCCTACGGCCCCCTGGCCCTGCAGCCCCACGGCCACCACCCCCAACACGGCCACCACCCCCAGCACCTGCCCGTGCCCCCCGTGCCGCACCTGCCCCCGCCGCCCGCCCTGTTCAAGAGCGAGCCCCTGAACCACCGCGGGCACGGCCACGGGCACGGCGGCACCGAGGGCTTCCTGCGGCACCTGGACAAGGGCGGCCCCGCACAGCCCCACTGACACGGGCTGCGATCCAGGTTTGGGGTCTCGGATCCGGGATGGGGCGTCTGGGCTGGGATCTGGGCTGGGATGGAGCCCCACAAGTGCTGCGGGCACGGGCACGGCCGTGGTGGCAGCCATGGCTTCCGTGTGGCACCTGGACAAGGCACAGCCTGGCACAGCCACACCGACACGGGCTGGGATCCACGTCTGGCATCTCGGATCCAGGATTGGGGGGATTTGGGGTGGGATTGAGCCCCTGAAGCGCTGTGGGCACGGGCACGGCCGTGGTGGCAGCCGTGGCACCTGGACATGGCACAGCCACGCTGACACGGGCTGGGGGCTGGGATCCAGGGCTGGGATCCAGGGCTGGGATCCAGGTTTGGGATCCAGGTTTGGGATCCAGGTTTGGGATCTGGGATGGCACCCGGACCCTGAACCACAGCAAGGGCTTCCTGTGGCACCTGGACAAGGCCAGGCCAGCACAGCCACACTGACACGGGCTGGGATGGGATCCGGGGCTGGGATTTGGGGTCTGGAATTGGGATCCAGGTCTAGGGTGGGATCTGGATTTGGGATCCAGGTTTGGGATTCTGGATCTGGGGTCTGGGTCTGGGATCCAGGATCCAGCTTTGGGATCTGGATCTGGGATCTGCCCTCCTACCGCCCCCACACCGCATTTGGGATCCAGGTCTGGGATCCAGGATCCCCCTTTGGGGTCCCACCTGGGTCTGCTCGGGGTTTGGGATCCAATTCTGGGATCCAGGATCCCCCTTTGGGGTCCCACCTGGGTCTGCTCGGGGTTTGGGATCCAATTTTGGGATCCAGGATCCCCCTTTGGGGTCCCACCT